TGTTTCTTCTACGTATTGACCGAAATGAAATCGCACTATCAAGTGAAAAACCTTAAGAAATGGATTATATGTAGGTAAAAGTAGCCACCGATTTTGTAGATTTCACCGTCGGTTAACTATCGAAACAGTTTTGCATATGCAACTTTCTTTTGCTCATGTTTCATCTAGCGTTCGATTTCGCAAAGTAATTTGTAATTAAAGCTTTTATAAAGCCATTTTCGTTTCCCTTCAATCGATGGAAATAAAAGATGAGAAACCCAATGGCCACCGATTTGGTAAATAGTTTTGCCGTACACGTCTATCGAAATAAATTTGCATAAGCATGAAAACAAATCTCGCTCTTCTCGTGTCACTCAACGAATATCATTCTGTTTTCGTAAGGTAATGCAAGCTCTTGTGTCAATATCTGAGTGAGAATTCTTCTAATCGAAGACCTTCTCATACCAGAGATTTGCAAACAGTAAGTTGTAGCAAAGACCAACATAGCCGCTCGATCGAAGTGTGATTGATTTTCAACAGGTGCTTCTTGGGACAGTTTTATACCGTTGCTCTTCAAAAACGTTGAACGGATGCAAGTAACCGTTAAACGGATGGATTTTTTTTTAAAACGGATAGGTTAACCATTTAAACGTTTTGCCGAAAACGTTAAATGGATGAGCAAAGTGTTTAGACAGATGAAGAGAGCATTTAAAGGCTTTGATGATCCGTTTTAAACGGATAATAAACAGATAGCAAACGGATTATTTCGTTAAACGGTAAAGTGTTAGTGTACGAAATCCTGTGCCTGGTCACAAATGACAGTAATTAGATTATATATAATTACATACTTTGCACGCAGTTAAATTTTTCGTAGATCTCTTGCGTCCTAACACCATCCCAAAACGAGTCGAGTGCCGTGACCAACAAGTCACGTCCGATCTTTTGAAAATTATTTAATTTTGAAATTGAGGTTAAAAGTTCATACAAGCCCATCAAAATGAATTTCAATTTAGTTTTCAAAGAATCTTTCTTTAATTATTTAAATTTAGAGAAAATGTAGCCGACTTCTCTGAGTGAAGTAGCTGACGCTTTTCGTCGGCCGTCGGTGCTTATTGAAAGCACTGTACAACTGTAACTAAAAAGACTGAAAAAAAACATGCATGAGCCCTTGTGCCAGTGCAGTTTGTAGTCTTTGAAAAATCTCAAAGTGCTGAGTTGGACCAAACTGCACTCAACATGTTTTTGATCACTTTACATATTTCCATAATGTAGTTCTTATGGAGAGTGTTGCTGCCTTTTTTGAACTGGCAGTTGTCTTAATTTTGTCGAAACATACATGTACAGCTGCATAAAATATGTGACCTCTCAAGGGAAAACGTACCGAACGGTTAGCCGTTTTTAAACGGATAGCTGTTCACCAGCCGTTCATCGGCCGTTCGACTGGATCGGCATGCCGTTTGAACGCCTCTAGCTATCCGTTCTTGAATATTCATCATCCGTTTGAACAGTTCAAGCCATCCGTTTAAGAAACTTCATCATCCGTTCAAACGTCTCTAGCTATCTGTTCTTGAATATTCATAATCCGTTCGAACGCCTCCAGCTATCCGTTCTTGAATATTCATCATCCGTTCGAACGGTTCAAGCTATCCGTTCAAGAAAATTTATCAGCCGTTCACTTCGCACTTTAGCAACGATGGTAGAAACATTTTCGGTGTGATCGCAATCCATATCTTCTCTCATTGAATTCTCCATTTTGTGATTGTGTGAAATGGCGGTAATTGACACAACTTGTTCGCAGTTACCAAGGCAACACATTTTTGACGGAGTGACAGGGAAGCTGGGATTATGGAAATTTAAACCCGAATTGAAGTTGAGTACTATGCTTTTCGCATGCAAGTTCCTTGGTTGTACCTTATCTTAATCCGTTGAATTCAATGATAAAAATATTAATTATAATCCATTTGAAGGCGCCAAAAGCGAAGTCAAGTTATCCAAACGATTGAGTTTCGACTCATTTCAAGTTATCTTTTCACAGATTGTGTCAAATACCTCGCGTTACTTAACACCGCGTCACCCAATGCGTGACGCTTTCATGAAATAATCCTTTGCTTTGGCTCAAGACAAGAGCTTGGGACACCCGTGTCGGCATTCGTTTTGATGAAACCATCTGTTCAAATAATTTCTACAGGCCATCACTTGTTCGACCGCTTGGCTGTTTATCCATTCGATCTCATCTGTGAGGCTCATCTAGCAGTGTTCGAAAAATTAGCCGTTCATCCCTTCGATAATTTTCATTAGCCGTTCATCCGTTTGACCTCATCCGTTCCAAAATTTTAATAGGCCGTTCATCCGTTCGAAAATTTTAATTAGCTGTTCATCTGTTCGACCTTGTCCATTTGAAAATTTTCACTAGCCGTTCATCCGTTTGACCTCATCCGTTCGAAAATTTTAATTAGCCGTTCATCTGTTCACAGTATCTGTTTCAAACGGCTTGGAAAGCCGTTCGNGTAATTGACACAAGTTGTTAGCAGTTACCAAGGCAACACATTTTTGATGGAGTGACAGGGAAGCTGGGATTATGGAAATTTAAACCCGAATTGAAGTTGAGTACTATGCTTTTCGCATGCAAGTTCCTTGGTTGTACCTTATCTTAATCCGTTGAATTCAATGATAAAAATATTAATTATAATCCATTTGAAGGCGCCAAAAGCGAAGTCAAGTTATCCAAACGATTGAGTTTCGACTCATTTCAAGTTATCTTTTCACAGATTGTGTCAAATACCTCGCGTTACTTAACACCGCGTCACCCAATGCGTGACGCTTTCATGAAATAATCCTTTGCTTTGGCTCAAGACAAGAGCTTGGGACACCCGTGTCGGCATTCGTTTTGATGAAACCATCTGTTCAAATAATTTCTACAGGCCATCACTTGTTCGACCGCTTGGCTGTTTATCCATTCGATCTCATCTGTGAGGCTCATCTAGCAGTGTTCGAAAAATTAGCCGTTCATCCCTTCGATAATTTTCATTAGCCGTTCATCCGTTTGACCTCATCCGTTCCAAAATTTTAATAGGCCGTTCATCCGTTCGAAAATTTTAATTAGCTGTTCATCTGTTCGACCTTGTCCATTTGAAAATTTTCACTAGCCGTTCATCCGTTTGACCTCATCCGTTCGAAAATTTTAATTAGCCGTTCATCTGTTCACAGTATCTGTTTCAAACGGCTTGGAAAGCCGTTCGTCACCTGTTTGCTTGCCGTTCCGTTTACTGTTCGAACGGCTACCATTAGGAACATTTTCACGTGAGAGGTCACATATTTTCTAAGAATGGCTGATGCTTATGAGACCTAATCCATGACTTTTGAAGTATATTCTCCCCTTTATTAAATTCAATAATTATAGATGGGATTTAATACAAATTTTTCCCCTATTCCTGAGCCCAGACTACAGTAACTCCATACCAAAAATTAAATCACATTAGGGCAATTTTACCATGCGCTCAAAAATTATGAATCTTATCTTTTGAAATCAATCAAGTTGAATGTTGAGAGCACTTAAAGCAATTCACCTTCTGCAGCGGCTGTTCTTTTACTTTCTTCTTCCGAACTGGTCCACCTGCACCAATTCCTGTTAGTTCTTCTAAATCATAGTCCTCCATGACTTCAAGGGAAACAAATCCATCCATTTCGCCCGCAAAGAACAAAGGATCGTCCAATACTACTGGTTCCCATTTTCGCTTCTTACCTTTCGAATTCTTCTCTGCCATGATGGAAAACTGAGCAAGGAGCTTTAAACAAGACACTGTATGCAAACACTCTTTTAAAAAACAGCAAAATTAGTAATAAAACTAACACCCCCGTGGAATGAAACCGCATTCTCTCACGTCGTCCGCCATGATAGATTAATTGCCAGAGAAGGACTGGATCAGAAATTTTACTGCGCCTAATCCTAATGGGAGTCATCCACTGAGTTATTGAAGACTAGTATTAACTCAGCTGAATTTTTTGTGAAAACTTGAATGAAAAGAACGACATGGCTAAAGAACACCGTACATTCAAAGAGGAGTGCTCTTATATTGAGCGCTTAAACGGAAACTCGTTTCTTATAAGAAAAGGCTTTGTCCCAAATATGAAGGTAAGTGAACGCGCGCTCAATAACGGAGGCCTAACTCCGGCTGGTTGCGTAGCGTTTCGCGCAAAAATACACGTCCAACTCTGTTATACGAGAGAAGGTCGAAGATAAACTATGGTCATCAAAATAAATGCCCTTACGCCTGCCATATCCGTCATATTCATTTCTTCTTTGAAATAAGTCTTAAGGCACAACCAGACTTTTTTTCCCAACTTCCTGCCTCCTCCCCCCACTCTACAATTAAAACCCTACCCGTACCCCACCACGTCTCTCGTGTCAGGTAATTTCTTTTCTTCTTCTTTTATTTGGTATCCTGTTTGTTTCCAAACTGTCAAATTTGCTGCATCATTGAGGAAAATTAAGACGGGAACAAACAATTGGACAAATTAATAATTATACTTCCATCAAACCATAATCATATTCATCATCACCCCTAACCCTCTTATTTATTTTATTATATTATTCCCAGAGTTGCATCTTTTTGGAAATTGTTAATGCAAGAATATCCTAATTGATTAGTATCAGGGACATTCCTACATACTGTTTCAGACAGAAGAGTGGAGGTGTACGTTGCAAGCTATTCAGTTCTAAAATTTTAAAGGATTTTTTTTTCTCTTTTTTTCTTCTGAAGGTTGAAGGTATCTTCTATATAAATGATTTACTTGAAAAGCTGATGTTTGATGAGCTGAAACACTGGGCTGGAACTCAAGGTACATTACTCTCAACATTTGGAGTATAATATTATTGTTGAATTTGCCACGTTTGTCTTAATCCTTTTATACAATTAAATTAAATTCCCGGACAGGTATTGGTGGTTTCCTTCCTGGTGTAAAGCAGATTGCAAATGTTGCAGCTTTACCTGGAATTGTTGGTGTAAGAATGATCATTACTTTTTTTCCAGTCATTTAATTATTTCAGAATTTCAGTTCACAGAGCTTTCTCTGTGGAAAAATTTTATTTCCCTCCAAGACAGTAAAAAATACTGAAATTGTGTTCACAGAATACTTATAATTATCCTTACATCTCTCTTGGGAAAAGTTAAATATACTATATTTTTTCTAGGCTAAAGAAGTCCTGAAGAGAAGTATTTTTAACAGCAATAACATTCATCTCTAGAAAAACTTGTTATCTCTTTAATCAGACTTCATGAATGACAATGTCAATCTGGACATTGTTTTTATCACTTCCTTTTAGAAGAAAAGTATTAATTTTGATAACATGCCAAAACAATATCACCAAACAACTAAAAAGAGCATGCATCTCCATTTCTCCTCTTAAATGTTTACTCATATTTTTTTTTCATTGTGTCTTAGAAATCAGTTGGACTACCAGATGTTCATTCCGGCTATGGGTTTGCTATAGGTATGTTACAATTCACGTGTTTGTAACAGATTTAATTTGATTTATTTGCATCTATGTGATTCTTGAGAGGCAAGTTGCTAAATTTAGTAAAGAGATGCTTATCTTTCAAAAAAAAAAAAGTAGTTGCAAAGTAATTTGATAAGTACATACATTTGCATACATTTCATTGAAGCTCCCTTGCCAGGGCTTTTCAGCCAGTCACTTTTGAACAAGACTATTTTTTTTCTTTTTGTAGGGAATATGGCAGCATTTGACATGTCTCTTCCAGAAGCAGTTGTTTCTCCTGGTAAAGTTCAAGAAAGGGTTTTACTAAAGGAATGAATTAAAAAAATGGCAGCATGACGACTTCAGCACGGAGAAAGTGTGTAATTCTGCAAACCCCACTCAAGTGGGGTTCGTGCATATACATGAGCTCTGTTGCCTTGTAACGCATGACGTATTTTACGTCACGTTTCACTGGGGGTCTTTGATGGAAGCTGTGTAGTAAAACCAGTTTGGATGCGGTCTGAGAAACTAAGGATAGATCGCAAAATTCGAAGCAAACTATGCTAAATCTGGAAAGCTTTGTTTGCTAAGTGGAAGTGTATTACAGTTCAACGAGCAGTTTAGTAAATGGTTTTGATCTTTGAAACTCATAAAGATTTCGTCCATGAAAGATTATGCAAATTCACGCCTGAACTGAAAGCCAAACGTAATTTGAGCTTTTTATTTACAAAAGCTTTGGTGCTATTTAGAACTAAAAGTCAGTCTTCCTAAAGCGAAGACATTGTTCACTGAAGGAATTTTATGTAGGTAAGGGGTGCTTATTTACTGGTCTTTTTTATTTCGATATCTTGTACCGTTTGTCTTGATTTAGAGCACAATTCCATTTTGTTCTTCTAGCCCAACGTATAGAAACAAACTGACTGTTCGATCTGTGATCTCTCGTGGATCACAGACGCGGTGATTCCACTCCATATTCCAGCTGTCAAAGGAGACGATCGCGAAATTATCATTCACTTCTTTAACAGTGTATGCACACCAAACTCCTCCTTCATTCACTGCTTCAGCTTTGAAGCCAACAGTTTTTGGAAGTGATATCTCATTTTTCGTCAACTGTCATTTCGCTTAGACCATCACAACAGGTTTCAACTTGTTTTGATGAATCTACAATCAGTTGCTAGGATAATCAAGGGTGTCCAGTATCTCTTGAGAATTCTAGCGCCTCATTGCGCATGTGTCGATTAAAACTGGAATACTTAATGAATTATACACTTTGTCCGTGTTGAAGTCGTAATGTTAACACATTTATTGATTATTAAATTGCAAGGCAGTGAAATAAGCACAGAGTAGTTGTGGTACAATAGTTTACCCTATTTTGCAAGTCTGACCTGAAATGATCATTTTATATTTACATGTCATACAAGATATTGATGACACACACTAACCATTTCTTTGTTATGTTTTTAGTTTACACAAAAGTTGTGTAAAGCTCTCACAAAGTGACCACAAAGCTTTTGACAGCTTGTTGTTCTATTGATATATTTTTTCTTAATTGTATGATTGTAAACCTCAGAATAAATCTCCTATCTAAATTAATGTTTTTAAAGACGTTTTTGTTGTTTACAATCATAAGAAACACTCATAAAAGACCATTTGTGTTAGGTGGTGTTGGCTTTGATATCAACTGTGGAGTGCGACTGCTGAGGACAAACCTTGATGAAAGGGACGTTCAGCCTGTCAAAGAACAATTAGCTCAGGTACAGGCAGGGCTCTTCACTAACTTTTCAACTTACTAGCCAAGTGGCTTGTGACAACTTAGATGTTACAACTTTTTTACTTTAGTTTACTAGCTCAACTGGCTATTGGAAATTGAAAACCACTGGCCAAAACTGAATTTCTTCTATTGTATGGCTAGTTGGCTACTCCCAGTGTTGATCCCTGACAGGGTAAAGTACACCACAGTAAATATGTCTTCATCAGGCTACGATTTAAAATAAAAGTTAGTTGAAATGTTGGGCCTTATTTGATGTACATGTCTGACTTTTTAACACCATGCTACTCGAGGACAACATCCAATGCTTGATTAGTTGAAATGGTTTCATTGAGAACAAGCAACCAGCAAAATACTCTATTGCCCCAACTCCTCCCTTCCTCTTTCCTTTGACTGTCACCCACCCCCTTGGTACAGATTTCCTTCTCTCCCCAGTTTCCCCAGAATGCAGAATATAGTTTTTGCTATAAAATACTTAGCAGTGGCTTTTCTAAATAATTCTGCCTGCCCTTCAGGCTGGTTTGCTCCAGGCTGGTTTGCTCCAGGCTGGATGCATTTCCACATGTGTATACACACTGCACCTTTGATATCATGAGTTCAGTGGACCTGAGTTATCTGAAACATTTCAAAACCAGCAATAAATTTAAGATAACTGTTGTTTCTCATTTCTCATTCAATTATGCAGCAATTTTAAATGTGCATTATTTCAGAAATAAACATAACTTATTGCAAGATTCTATAACAAATTTTTCTTTTTGTTTCCTCTCATTTCAGTCACTTTTCGATCATATCCCTGTTGGTGTTGGCTCAAAAGGTGTTATTCCCATGGGTGCAAAGTAAGCTGAAGTTTCCATCTGCTGCTCAACTCCTCCATCAAAGCTGTTTTATTCTGACACTTGTTCAGCAGTTAACACTTTTACTACCAAGATGTCTTCATTAATTTATTCTTCTTACTGTCTGCCACACAATTCTTATAATGATAGTTATAAGAACTTGGTATTGGATCAGCCAATACCATCCCTCAATTGATAATTTCCTTTATTCTTGTCACTTGTCTGCTTGATGTTGAATTGATATGGTTGAGAGAAATTCTGAATTGGTCACTCATGGGGGTTAAAGGTTGATGACATCTTGGGTCCATCATGTTTATTTTTTTTATCATTATTATTTTTCTCCAACAGAGATCTGGAGGAAGCTCTCTCAATGGGGATGGATTGGTCCTTAAGAGAAGGTTGGCCATTTCCTACATTTCCTTTTGGTTTATTCAAAATATGATTTGAGTAATGGTGAGATAGGAAGTGCTCAGAGAGCAAAAACAAAACAACGACGATTCTGTGACCTGCTTTTATTGGAAAGAGTTAGACAAGAATTGGAGAATATTGAAAAAGGAACCAGGAAATATTATATGTACATAAACGATCTCAATTAAGAATTATTATTTTTTGAAAGAATATTAAATTAAGGCGAATTTGGCTCTACACAGAGGTTAGTGTTGGTATTAAGGTGAGAAAAATTAGAGGTCGAAAATCATAACGGTCATATTTAAGGTGTCACTGATGTCCTTCCGAAGGTTTTTTGATTTGTGTGTCATCTCTGTTATTACCCAGGCTATGCATGGGCTGAGGAGAAGGTTTTTTGATTTGTGTGTCATCTCTGTTATTACCCAGGCTATGCATGGGCTGAGGA